TTATTATTATTAACTCGTTCACATGGACTGAACCTGAAGATGGCACGTTTGGGAATGTAAGAGACGAATTTGTATGTGGTTATTTAGACGATCATTTAAGCACAGGTAAGTTCGCTGCTGTGAAAATCCGTCAAATTAAAATATTGAATAGACGTTGAACTAAACTACGAGCACTGGCGAGCATTTACAAACTCAAATACTCATCTAAATCGAGAATACTTGTTGCCAACGAATGATGTATATAAAATATATTCGCATCATCTATGCAGCCACACGCTTACTAGAAATCTTCTCTGGGGTCTGCAGTAAAGTCGCATCCTTCGATGTCGAGACCACTCGTGCATTTTTTTTTCTACAGTCATTATTATTGTTTGCGTGTAGTTTATATAATCTATTTGATTTAACAAGAATTAAAGAGCCGGAATATGAATGATTAAGATTAAAACCAGAAGATTATATAAATACAGATCTTCTATGAAAATACATATACGTATAACGACTTTGACAGCAGTCACTTTCTCTAATACTAATATGAGAAACACGACCTAGAACTGCGGAGGTCTGAATTCTGAAGACTACATACGGAGGAAACATGACTACACGAGTGAAAATGTTCACATGAGTTTATCGCACCCCATCACATACTATAGCTTTCATTGGCCAAAAACGCTCATTGGGAGGGTTCGTTGTTTCAGAAGTATGAGTCATGAACTCGGACCTCGGTGAGTCAATACTCGATACTCTCCCGCGGTATGTACCGCAGTACTGGTGGCCCGTGGGCCCGTGGGCCGTGGGGTAAGCGAATACAGAAATACTTTTCTAGTTTTGTAGATTGTAGAATGTGTATAGACCCGGTACTCTCAGTCTCTCGGTTCCCGGCCTTCTCGCCAGACGCCAGTCGTGACACTCATAGAGTCGTCTGAAAATGGTGTTGCACGTTGCACATCCAATGCGAATCGATACACAATTCAAAATACACGAATGAAGATCGCACAAGCAAACTCAGTGACTCATTTCTTCTTCTTCTTCTTTTTCCGTAGACATTCTATTTATAGTTTATACTTTCTCCGTTTTATTCTGAATTTTTATTAGTAGAATACACTCAGTGACTCAGAGGGTCAGGGCCTCAGGCATCAGGACAGCATTGCTAATAACCTCAATAAGTTACAAAGGTACGCGCAAAAAGTATGAAATTTAACTCTAAACCTTTTGAAAATATGTTAAAAATTTTATTAGGGCCAAATCAATTGTCAAAATTCGAAAATCTGCACTCGATAAGTTGTCCTATCGTTGTGAAATTTGGGCCTCGAAACGCGCGTTAGCCAATCAGAATTTACAAGTGAATATTGTTGACCGTTGGAAATGTTGGCAGTTGTTGGAACTGGAAGTCGCCAGTTGGCAGTTAGTCAGTTACTATCTAGTATCACACAACTGCACAATATTTCACACACAAATCAAATGTATACACACCTAGACTCCTAGAGTCAAAAAAAAAATTATCCCTAAAAATTTTATCCCTACATCTATACTTACAGACTGTCAGCCTAGTTAACCCTCGCTTCTAAATAATAATGGTAACGATTGATCTGACAGATACTCATTCTGATCCTGTCACGCTAGCACAATTTCGGCCCAAGCTCCTCTTTTCTTATTTATTTGTCGATGACACACGGATCCAAGCCCCTCGATCGGTTTTGCTCCAGCCCTTCTTAGATGACATTGATGCGTGGGGACGCAAATCTGGCCTCGAACAGGGTGTCATTAAACCCCGAGTACGATCTACCGACTTGCGACACGCGACGTCAACCCTCCGTATAAATGGTGAGCTTATCACGCCGACGCTTGCAGACGCACCTTGGAACACACGTTACCTCCTCCTGAAACTGGCGCCCACACATGCCGAACCGAAACACTACAAATACCTGGGGTTCCCACTCTCTCACGGAGTACCAGGAATCAACCTCGCTAGACATATGGAATCCCTGGGGAAGTACCTTCATTTTGGTATTAAAAAACCCCATTGTTTGTGTCCAAACGCCTTTTTGCCTTAATTTCATGCCAAATCGAAAAATGCCTTTATTTCATGCCAAATGTAAAATACCTTTTTTTTCATGCCAGATGTCAATTTGTTTACGAAAAAAAAATTTATTTATGCGATGAAATATGGCCAAGTCTCCACCTTATAGACTAGTTTGGTAGGAAAATATAATGATACAAAAATGCTACATGGCGACTGAAAATGGGCTCCACATTTTTTCATGCTGTGTATATAAATACACATATATTTACCAAAATGCCTAGAGCCAATTTTCTACAGGCCCTCTATGATACGGCCGATGACTGCTTTGTAAACATAAATGCGTGTAATTTTGTCACCACGCATGTTGACGATATCCGAAAATCACTCGAGGACAATTTGGACAGGGTGTTAGAAAATCGTGGCATTGACATGATGCAATTTAGCGAGCTAAACGACGCTTTTCAACAGGCACAAAAAAAATGGCGCACCAAGGCCAAGAATACAGTCGCCGCTGCCACTCAGGAATTATTTGACGTGTTCGTAATGGACGGTACAATCAAGCCAAGCATCCCCAACCTCGAAAGTGCAATCAAGACCTTGGCAACTCTGATCAGTCCTGATAATCCGAAACTCAAGATTACGTACCGTGACCAGATGAAAAACGACCGCAGGGGTCCAAAGGCCTGTCGTGATAACTTGAGTGTTGCCCTTATGACTCTCCGAGAATCTTTGCTGAGACTTTGGTCATTGGTTAAAAGGTACAATTTTGCAGGCAAACTAATCGGACCCAAACTCGAGCGACTGGTCGATTTGCGCGACATTCCACGTACACAAGAGACCACCTGGTTGATTAGGGGTATCAGGGAAATACGATTGGATGGCGAACGTGAGGCGCTAGACCATGCCGAATGTATGGAGAGAATGCGAGAAGTTGAGCGTGCATACGAAGAGAGACTTCGGAAGGTGATTGGTGTTGACGCTACGGATGAAAATGGAAACTATTTTGTGGACCTTACAGGCATGAAAGACACCGTGCCACTGCTGGTGGGACGCGATGTATCCGAACCCGCCAACCCGCTTTACCAGGAGTGACAGCGTGTTAACCGGAAGCAGGGCAAGCGAAACCAAGACTCGCTCAGGTGGTCCGACTTTAAGCGACAGAAGAAGGATCGGGCTAGCATTCAAGCGATAGAGTTGAGTGACTAGTCAAAGTCGTGATATGTCCGCTATTTTTTGCCACAGCGCATGCTTCGACAAATACTACACAGCGGCACCGCAACATCAACGATGCTGAGAGCGACGCACTTTGAACTGGAACAACGAAAAAGTTGCACAATGTCATTTAAACGCCTGGGTGACGCTAAGCACAAGTGTACAATACTAGCGCTCGAGCTGCAGCGTGATATGATTCGAGCATGGGTGAACCGAGTTCGTGTGCGACACGGTGTCGAAATTGTATAAAGAAATATTTAATTTTAGAAACTTGCGCGCGAAAACTTCACCGCACCTTTTTCGGCCGAAAAAAATTTGAAATGCATAACTCGGAAACAAGTACGCGCGAAAACTTCACCGCACCTTTTTTGGCCGAAAAAAATTTGAAAAGCAAAACTCAGAAACGTCTTGACGGGGCCCGTCAACCGCCTTGTGTGTGAGAAATCTCAGTCTTTACGGGGTGTGTAGAAAATCTTTGTCTTGACGGGGCCCGTCAGCCTTGTGTTTGGACACACGCGTACGCACGAAAAAAATGTATGAAGAAATATTTCCCCCTTTTTTTTTCAATACGAAAATATCATGTCGCATCTCCCCAAAATTGAAGTCGATATCCCATACGACGACGAATCCACCGTCGACCGGTCGATTGATGAATTGCAAGCGCGAGGAGCGTCCAAATATCGTACCAGAATAGTGTTTGGGTCGCAAAACGAGTTTGTTATTCAACTCGCACGTGTGCTTTCAACCTACAAATCGGTACGCGAGCTTTCCGGTTTCTTCAAAGGTATACCTTTGACTGCGATATCATCGATTGTGGATGGCATCCCTGATCGCAACACGTGCAATTTGATTTACCCCAGCTTCCGCTCGTTTATGATATGTCCGCTATTTTTTGCCACGGATGACATTAACGAAATATGGGAACTGTGTGAAAGTTGGACCCCACCGACGTTGATCGGCTCGCGGGGTCCAAACATGTCTGCTGCAACATCAAGGGGCTTACACGCCAAGACCAGGTCGACGCGTACCTGCAGTTTGTCGGGGAATCGGAACAACCACAGTTTGCCATGGAACACGTAAATATCCGAGAAGGTCCAGCAGGTACCGGTAAATCGTACACGGCCGTGTTGGGGGATGTCGGTGTCATGCGCGAGTTGCACGGATCATTTTTGACCACCAATACGAACGCTTTGGTCATTACACACAAATCCAAGATATTCCATCACGGTGGCGTGACGGACGGTAATCCGACCATCAGTCCCAGTACTCTCACCAGCGAGTACGCGGCCTAGAACTTTGGCACTAACACGGTGCACATGTCGGCGTTTACATGCGACCGCACCCTCTCCGGTGCCAACGGCGGTGAATATAAATACATATGGGACTCCTTGGTCAAGTTCATATACGAAGGATCAGGCAAACTGAACGGCTTTATCCCTAAAAGGTCGGATCGACACGAGTTTGTACGTATACTTAGGCTGTTGAACCTGTGCAATGAAATGGCAAACGAGGTAAACTCGTGGAACACCGTATGCGAGGTCAAAGACGCATTCTTGGCTAAGATAAATGCCCGCGACGATTCCAAAGAACCCCCGCACCCACTTGGTATCAAACCTTTTCCGGGCGGCCCGAAATCACATTCGGGGGTTCCGAATTGGTTTGATTGCAAGTACGTAATCCTGGACGAGTTTGCGATGCAGTCACCCAAGTTCGTATTGTGTCTCATAGCCAAGTTCTGGAATGCCAAGGTTGTTCTGACAGGCGACCCAGCCTACCAACTGGGTCATTCGTCTCTGAAGTGGATGGTCATCACGCGCAACTTGGAGTTGCTTAATTCAGCCAAAGTGTCCCGGTTGCCCAACATATCGTACTACCGATACACGACCGTTCGGCGGTTCGATACCGGAGACCGTATCAATAAATTGGTAGCTAGGCTGATGGATATACGTACCCGGTTATCCGAATACACCATCATCTCGGTCAGCTACCAACATTTCCAGATCAAGAGTATGCTCATACAGCACTTCCCGGAAATCCTTATCAAGCGCTCGGAGGGGCTCCAGCTATTCTACGATTCTCGGGAGTCGCACATGAATTATCTTATATCGGCGCGACGTTCGTGCCCGTACAACGTGTGTACGAAATGGGGTAGATTCTACAGTGAACCCACGGAAGATGACAACATGCCCCGACTCACCGAGTCCCAGAGAATCAGGCTACGCCGGAACTGCAATTGTTCGGGCATGAATATTATCCAGCAAGTCCGAGATGAACGTCCGGAAGACAAGGTTATCTACATGGCCATCAAGGCGTATCCAGCATTCAATATTGCTAAAGATATGGTCATGTCCCGTACTCGAATGCAACAGTTTGTGAATAGTGGCGTGCCCCAGGGTACCTTTGTGACTTGCTGTGGCTTTACCGTACATCAATTCCAGGGCCGTACCGTCGAACCTCCGAGCACCATCATATATCATCTAACGTCGGGATGGGAATACACGGGTGAGATACTCGACGATACGACAAGAGTTCAAGACCTTCTTCATGTGTTGCGGCTTTTCTATACCTTTGTCAGTCGCTGTAGAAGAATCTCCCAAATATTCGTCATTGACGATGCCCTGGAGTAAGCAACTCGGTGTGTATAAACTCGGCGTGCTCGGTCCACCCAGACACGCGAGCAATTCGTTGCCACGATCCATGTAGTTTGTAACGTTTTCATTTATTTATTAAAGTGTTTCTACATTTAACTCTAATCGTCAAGTCTGAGGCGTTGGGGATGGACATCCCGAGGGATAATCTAATAGAATATATCCTACAGGCACCTCTCCTTCGGTACTCAAGCGATGTGACAAACGCGCGTTGTAAGAAAGCAAGGGGTGAGCCGAAAATTGGCAAGGAGTATTGTTTCGCGAGAGCAAGCTCACCTTTGCTTGCGTTCTGCGACATCACTGAGTCGCAGCGTATGTACAGTGAATCACCATGGGGCTTGGTAGAATTAGGTCTTAATTCGTCTCTTCCAGCTAAGACTCGAATGGTTAGTTGTTGGTTCAAAGTGGGGAATGCATATTCGACGAAAACCCAGATGGTATATACGTCCAAAAGTGAATTAACCCATTCAGACAGATCTAATTTCAGATATATAAAAGGCGACAATATAATACATGTCGTGGAAAGTAAGCACTACATCAGTGCGACTAGGTCGCAACTCCGGCATCATCAACCAGGGAATTTCCGCGGTGGCAATTGGAATTGACGCTGGAACTACAGGCCAGAATGAATTGGCTATTGCCATAGGAAGTTCGGCTGGAACTACAGACCAGAGTGAATTGGCTATTGCCATAGGAAGTTCGGCTGGTGAGAATACGCAGGGTGCGTACGGTATCGCGATCGGGCGACGGTCGGGTAAAATCAACCAGGGGACGGAAACCATAGGTATCGGGTTTAGCGCGGGTGAGTATGACCAAGGTGACAAGGGAATTGCTATAGGCAATGATGCTGGTAGCCAGACGCAGGGAGA